CCCGTCTTGTGGGGGGTTGCCTCTTGGGAAGTGGCAGTCTGTCAGGGTGTTGCAGTATTGAGCCCAGCATGGTATGATATGCACAAATATTTGAACATTCAGCAACAAGGCCGCTGCCAAGGCTCTGCCCCAGCGTGACTCATGGACAGGATAACAAAATGATATTATGTCCTATTATCCCCCGCGAGGTTTATTGTGGTTTTTCAAGTGGTTACACACATTAATGTGGTGGCTCTTTTGCTAATGGGGGAATTTCTGGTATGGAGGGGGTGTGGTTAAGGTAATAGCATCCCTTCTGAAAACAAAACACGAAGCCCTGTTTCCCTACAGGGGATATTTTCTTAGGTCGAAGGGAGGCTTGTCAGTGTTACTAGAATTTTGGACAAGCTGGATGATGGAATTGTGTTGTCTGTGGAAACAGAGTCTGCTACGAGCAGCTGAAGGGTTCAGGACAGGAGGCGTGGGCAAGGTGTGGGGAGCAGACTCAGGTATGGCCTTCCTCCTGAGCCCCTCACCCAGCAGCCTGAGGACTTGGGATGTCAGAAGGGAAGTGAAATCTCTTTAATTTGAAAGTGAGGAAACTGGGCCTCAGAGAGGGAAAGGGACTTGCCCAAGGACACACAGAGGGCTGATGACAGATCTGGACATCCCGCCCCCGCCCCCCCAAATCAGGTCTCTTACCACAGCATCACCTGTGGCCTGATGAGAGGTTGCCTGGGGGTGCAGGGGCGAGATTAATGAACTTAATGGCCCAGGGTGCCACCTGTGGAGATGGCCAGGCTTCATTTGGGATCCCAGCTCTGCTCCACTTCTACCGTGCGACTTTGGGCCAGTGACTCTGTGTTTCCCCATGGGTCAGTGACTAGCACACAGCAGTGCTCCAAAATACAGCTAGCGGTCATCACCTTCCTGGCTCTGCTACCAGGTAGCCAGGTGCTCGCAGGCAAGTCACTGTGTCTCTCCAGGCCTCAATTTACCCATTTCTAAAATGAAGATATTCGACTAGGTAATATCTCAGGGCCATCTCCAGTCTGATGCCCTGTAAGTCTATGACTCATTGAACTACCCCAAGTCAAGGGAAGGGAGGGGACTACAACAATAATATTAACAATAATAGTTTCAACCATTTATTGAGTGCCCACGGTTAGGTGCCGGTCCCCCTCATGTCACGCCTACAACATTACAGCAGCCCCCTACTGGTCTCCTGGCTTCCAATCTTCTCCCCTTCAATCCACCTTGCATACCTGGCCAGTTTCAACAATCTTAAATCCTACCTTACTGTTTCTGCTCCAGCACATTCAATGGCTCCCCAGTGCCCCACAAGGTCAAATCCAGTTCTTCCATGTGGTGATTAAACCTTCCATGGTGAGGCCTTGCCCTCTTTAATGGAATCTCCTACCAGCTGTGTTGTCTCTTTGTCGAGTCCTCCCCCGTGTCTCGTCTCAGAGGTGCTCAATGAACATTTGTTGAGTGAACGAACACATGGGTGAAATGTTTCTCTAAATTAGGCTACGCAAACTTTAGTCACTTGCAAACCAGCCGCAAGAGTTTTGCAAAAATCTGTGCATTGTGTCTATTTTTATTTACTTAAGTATTTTCCTTTTTTAGATTAAATAAATGTATCTGAAAAGGAAACTGTACATCACACTGTAACTAGAAGATCAGTATCACTTGCCAGAAATAGGTCTCCACTAAAATAGATACAAGGACAGTTGAGCAATGTGTTCAATTCTAACTAGATATTGGTGTCTACCAGGGCTACAGTCCTAGGGCTTATCTCTCTTAGTTAAAATGGGATGGCTCAGTACTGTCAGAGGTGTTAAAGACAAATTACCCTAACCTGAGACTTGCCCATGGACAGAAATCACACGGATGTTACAGGGAGATGAATATGGAAGAGCTTTTGTGCACCAAGTTATTCCACCTCACTGAAAATTATCCTAGCTACCACCAATGGTTGCCAGCCCACATTTTGAGAACTCTGCTAACAGAAACTATCCCTCTAGCCCACGAGGGATGCATGTAAGTTCTCTGGAAGACTTTAACCAGGCTTTTAGGAAGGACATGGAGACGGTGCATCAGACATCTCAACTTTATAGTATAGGATCCCTTATCTGAAGCTCCCCTCTGCACAGTAGACAGTCCTTGGAACACCAGTGAGATAAGAGTTTGTTGTTTGAAACTATCCACCTGGTGGAATAATGAGTTTCCCGTCACTGGAGATGTGCAGACAGATGCTAGAGAGTCATGGGTGGGCAGGGAGGGAGGGGAGCGGGGAGCAGGGGATGTTATGGAGATAATTCAAGCATTAGATGGTCCAGGCTATGAAACTGACCTGACAGCCAGACTTTGCTTTCATATGTAGGCAAAACACATTTTTAAAAAAACTTATTTATTTAATTTATTTTTGAGTGCATTGGGTCTTCGTTGCTGCACGCGGGCTTTCTCTGGTTGCGGTGAGCGGGGTCTACTCTTTATTGCGGTGCGCGGGCTTCCGATTGCAGTGGCCTCTCTTGTTGCAGAGCACGGGGTCTAGGCGCACGGGCTTCAGTACTTGTGGCTTGCGGGCTCTAGAGCGCAGGCTCAGTAGTTGCGGCGCATGGGCTTTGTTGCTCCGCAGCATGTGGGATCTTCCCAGACCAGGGCTTGAACCTGTGTCCCCTGCGTTGGCAGGTGGATTCTTAACCACTGCGCCACCAGGGAAGCCCCTGCAAAACACATTTAGAGCAATGAAAATAGAGGGGAATTAACTTCTGAATAGGAATACAGAAAAAAGAGAGATGATTGTGAGCTTATCGAGGAGACTTGAAGGAAGAAAGGGGAGTGGAAATGGTTACTATAATTCGTTTATCTCAGTAACGCTTCCTATTTCTCAATCCAGAACTGGATTCATCAGGACTATTTTGGTTTTAATCAACATAAAGTGAACTCAAACTTGCGTAAGTGACAAAAAAGGAACTTAATGTGATTTCAATAATGAAACTGCCTTCAGGCATGGCTGAGTCCAGGGACTCAAACAATACTCATCAGGACTCTGTCCATTGTCCATCTCTCAGCTCTGCCTTCCTCTGTGTTGGCTTCATTTTCAGATATGATCTGTTCAAGGAGTGACAAAGCTGGCTGCCAGCAGTTGCAGGCTTAGGAACCGTGGTGGAGATCAAACTTGTGTTTGACAGTAGTTTTAGCAAAAGTCCCAGGAACAGTTCTCATCAACCCAGTATATGTCACACGTTCTTTCCATTGAGATCAGGGTGATGTGCTCTGGCTGTGCCTGGGTCACATGTCCACCCCTGAAAGGAGGGAACTCCACCCAACCATACGAATATGAGTGGAGAAGGGGAAGTTCCCCAAATCAAAATTGAGGTGCTGTCGCCTGAACAAGCTGAAATGAATGTCAGGCAAGAAAAAATAGCTTCCATATTTGCTACTCTCATACCCTTGCTCAAATCTGTGTCCCGCATCTCCATCCAGATAGCATCTATTCATCCTTTGGCCATCAGCTCAAATGGCACTTCCTTGAGGAAACCTTTCCCAACCATCCCAAGCTGGACTGGATCGCGTGAAATGTGTGCTCCCAGCAGAGCTTGTCACTCTGGGCCTGTGTGGTTATTTGACAGAAGCCTGTCTCCCACACTGGACCAGGACCACCTTGGGGTGTGTGGCCTGTCTTGTTCACCATGGTGTCTCCAGGTGGTGACCAGTAGATGGGAGGAATGGATGGGTCAAGGAAGATATCAAGATTCCATGCTTGTGGGTGAGAGTGTGGGAAAGAGCCAGGAGCAGTCAGGGTCACCTTGGGGAGCACTGAGGGTTGTGGGGTCCAGGGTGGATGATGGGCGGGCATTGTGGGGTGGGGGATGGCAAGTCTATCAGCAAATGCCAGCCCTGGGGACAGAGAGAGGAGGCAAAGAGTAGGTCAGGGGTAGAGAGAAGGGATCCTTTCTGTGAGTCCTTGGGGAACCCAGATGGAAGGGCAGTCATGGCCCCATTACCAGGAGTCTTTGTGAAAGGAGTCAGGGGTCAGGACTTGGCAAGGGGTAGGGAGGGAGTCCTCTGGTACTGGGTGAGCACTGGCTGGGAGAGAGCCTTCTCTGGGACAATCCCTCAAATCTCAAGAACTGGAAGGAGGAGGGTACCTGGGGGACAGGGCGGGGGGGGGCAGGGGAGGGGGAGGGGGTGTTCTGCTGCCATCCCTGCTTGTTGTTGCAGGCTGTGTTTCTCTTTTTAATCATCTGTTTATCCATCTGTCCATCCACACGCATAGCCACTTGTGTCTCCACCACCACCCCCTGGCAGCAGAGAGGGAGTCCTCACCAACCCGCCCCTCCCCGCCTTATGCACACATCCTGCCTGGGATCAAAAGCCTTGTTGCTTCAGCTCAGAAACTGTTCCCTGTGTAACAGGCAGGGGAGCAGGGAGGGGGCAGGAGCCCACCCCCCACCCCCACTGAGGGGGCCTTGTGACCTACAGAGAGAGAAGAGGGTGAAACAGAGAAAGAGAAACGAAAAAGACCATCAGAAGCAGATCGGCAAGGCTGGAGAGAGAAAAGCCAAGAGGGAAATAAATCCATGTTAAAAAGGACTGGGACACAGAGACCCAGACAGACGGGCCAAGGCAGGGAAGAGGCCACCAGACGAAAGGCGAAGGAAGGAGAGAGTGAGGGGGAGAGGGGAGCGGGCGAGGCGGATGGGGCGGGGAAGAGAGGAGAGAGAAGAAAAGGAGAGAAAAGGGGGGAGGGAGGGGAGATGGAGAGCGAAGAACTGGAAGCGGGAAACGGGAGAGACAAGGAGGGAAGACAGGAGTGGAAGGAAGGGAGTGGGGTGAAGAGACGCCGAAGAAGCCGCGGAAACGGGGCGCGCGGCTGGCGGGGGGTCACGGCAGCCCCCCTCCCCGGGCTGGGCGGGCTCCGGAGCCCCGGCCCCGCCCCCGCCCGCGCGCCCTCCGCCCCGCCCCCCGCGCGCCCCGCCCCCCGCACTCCCCGCCCCTCTCTTCCCGGTGTCTCTCCGCCCGCCCCCGAGAGACTGAGCGAGCGGCGAGATTGCGGGCGAGAAACGCGGAGCCGAGGCACCGAGGAGCTGGGGAGCGCAGCGCGGCCCGAGGCGGGAGCGGCCCCGCGTCCGGAGCGCGCCGGAGGGGCCGAGCTGCCCGCGCAGCGCCCGCCGCGGGCAGCGCAGCCCCGGCCGCAGGTAGGAAGGGGCTGCCGGCTTCGGGACGCGGGGCGCAGAGTCCGGGACGGCTGGACAGCGCGGACGGTCGCCCAGAGCCGCCGCCGCGGGCCGGGCGGGATGGGGTCGGCCACGCCGAGTTTCCAGCCCCGGCGCCTCGCCCGGCCTCGGGCACAGGAAGGAGCCTGAGGTGCCGCTCCGACAGTCGAGGCGCACCCCGGCCATCCCCGTGGGACGCGTAGGGGACCGGGGGAACTAGAGGGACCGAGGGTCGCTAGAATCTCCTGCCTTTTCCTGGTCGCGGGCCCCTTGGACCCCCAGCTGGTGTTGAATTCTGCTGGAGCCGTCGAAGCGCCGCGTTCATCCCCAGGGGATGGCGGGGGACCCGGGAAAGAATGATAACGTTTGGCTAGTCGTGCGCCACTTCTCCGTCTGGGGTCAGCTGCGCCGAGGTCGAGCTGTGCCCCTCTTCTGTTCTCTCCGGGCTCTGGGGACCAGGCGACTTGAGAATGGGACACCTCCTTTCTGTCCTAGGGCCGCTTAAGCTGTCAAGAAATGTTGGCTAGAAAGCACACCACAGCTCGGGCTTGAGCTGAGCGCACTGAAGCTCGCGACGCGGTCTCCCCACTCCTTTCCCCGAGGAATGTGGGGTGAGTGGGGTCTCTCAGAGGGGTTGAGGACGGTGTCTCCTTGCTACCGCAGGCACTGAGGCTCTGAGCTAATCTACTCCCCAGATAGATGTGAACCCCAAGGAGAAGATTGGGTTTTTAAAAGCCCAGTGATGATGTCTAGTGCCTTCCCGATGTGGGGCTTGAGCTCTCTCTCCCTCTCCCAGGAAGCTCAGCCTCATCTTCATGAAGAACTGGGGGCTCTGAATAAAATGGCTCCTGAGCTTTGGTGACACCCCCAAATCAGAGACTGTGTCAGGCTAAGTGAGTGGACTTTGGGGTAAACCTTTATCTGTGACAGGCAAGGTGGGTGTTTGGCAAGAGAGGGGGTGTTGGGTGCTGGGGTATTGCTTAGATTCTCTCTTTGGGAACTTTGGGGGAAATGCATTCATAAGGGAGTGTGAAAAGGCACCCCAACTCCCAAATTCCAGAACAAAGGAGGTCAGTGGGAACAACAGGCATCTGTACTCTCTCTTTCTCCTTGGAATGCTCTCTCTGGGAAGGGTTGACCCAGCCCCTGCTCTGGTCCTGGTCAGAGCAGCCTCAGACCCTCCCTCCCCCTCCTCCCCACACACAGAGGATGATACAAGTCCCTGGAGAAGTGAGAGGGACCCCGCCCCCCCCCCCAGCAATGGGGCAAAATGGCTGAGCCTCCCTTGAGCCTCAGAAAGAAATTGTCAGGCAGGCGGCAAACAAAGAAAGCGCTCTCTCTCTAGCCAAGCGCTGGCTCAGTGGCCAGTCCTCAGAGGACAAACAGTGAGTCCCAGGCAGTGGGACGCAGCCCGGCTTGTCTGCCAGAGCATCTAGAGAGTGGGGCGATCCCTAAGAATTACAGTAGAGAGGCAGCCGCTGTGGGAGAAAAGAGGGAACCATCTCTGCTGATGTCCTACCCTTTAGTCCATGCTGGAGGCTCAGTGAGAACGGGGTCCCCTAGGAACTCAGGATGGGGCTGGGAGGGGCGTCTAGAGGCCAAGGAGGAGGCAACTCAGAGGGCAAAGGAAAGAGCAAGTCCCTCAAAGCTGACAGCAGCACAATAGACCTGTCTCTCCCTGGATTTCATACGCATGGCAACCAGGAGCTCCAAGTGCTATGAATGTGTCTGCGCGTGGCCCAGCACCCAGCAGGCACTCAGTCAATGTCTTACAATAAAGCCTACATAGATGGAAGGTGAGGACAGCCTAGCGTGGACCTCCCTGCGTCATTGAGCTGGAAGCCTACAAAATACGGCCTCCGAGACCTCGGCCAGGAACGAGCCCTAGAAGGATTGGCTTGGAGCTGGGCTGCTGCCATTTTCTGCAGGTGACCTTGGGCAAGTTCTCATCCCCATGGGAAGGTAGGAATGCAGTATTGAAAGCTGACAATGTATCCAGCTTATAATTCCTACAGTAACCTTGCGCAGCAGGTACTATTCTAATCCCCCCCTTCAGAGGTGAGGAAACTGCAATACAGAGAGGGAAAGTGACTTGCCCAAGGTCACACAGCCAGGAGGATGCAGGGCTGAGATTTGAACCCCACTCTTCTGACTTCCAGGCCAACGCTTTGCCCCCTTGATGGGTCTCTGGGCCTTGTTTTTCACCTCCATAAAGTGAGGTGGTGGGGCGATGGTCAGGGTTTGATGACTGACACTGAGGCCCCTCTGGACGGCCATCCGAGCAGTGGCTGCTCCCTTGCCTTCCCACATATGCTAAGAGCAACCTTAAATAAAGCACAGTGTCAGGCGGCTTCTTGCCTTCACATAAAGACGCTGTTCCTACGCTTGGCTGTGAGCTCAGTAGCTGAGATAGAGACATCCCAAGCCGCTTGGAATTTGGAGATGTCATTTTGTCCCTCTTGTGGGGTGTGGATCACAGGCTGAGCATCATCCCCGGCTGATTAAGCCTTGCTGTCCCTGCATCCTAAAGTCCATCCCCTTTGTCCTTGGGAGCAGGTGGGGTACCTGAGTCCCTCCCTGTCACCTGGCCTGAGGCGTGCCTAGCGCTTCCTTGCCTTTGATCACCTAAGCCCTCTCCCTCAGCCACATCTCAACGCCAAACCCAGTTAGAGACTCTTAATCCCCCTGCTCCCCAGATGGAAACAGAGATGTGTCAACCTTTGCCCATGTCAGAACCGCCCCTTCCATTCAACTGGGCCAAGTTGCCTGGACGGTGGGCAGAGCACACCTGCCATGATAAAAACAACCTTGAATCGACAGCAATTGCAAAGAGCTGCAGCCACAGCCCACCGCCAACCCCCCCACCGCCCTCAGGGGGGAGACCATTAGCTGTTCATCCACTGCTCTGTGGCATTCCTCGGCACCAGCTCCCCAGATGGCCCCAGCACCGAGGGGCCTTTCTGCCACCTTTACCCCATTCTCTGCAGGTCGCTGGAAGGTGGTGGGAAACAGGGTGGTACTTGAGAGGGGGAAAGGCTGGGAGGCCCGATGTGGACCCCAAAATAGGACTTCCCAGAAAATGTGCCTCTGTGAGCTTTACGAATGTCCAGCACGTTCACTCCCAGCTCACCTGAGGGCCTCCGGAGCAGGGGAAGGGGGTGAGAGTCAGCGGCAAGCCGGCTAATAGCGGAGATAGGGTTGCCTGGCATAGACCGCAGCTGTGAACGCAAGCTGTGATGTTTCAGCACAGACTTGGATCCAGTCATAAACAGGAAAGAAAAACCCACTAAATGTTGTTCCAATGATAATATCATCAATAACAGTTATAACTAAGAGTTATTGCAAGTTGGTGATCTGCCAGGGAGTGTGCTGTGTGCCTTCCTGCTAGTATTGCATTTAATTTTCACAAAACCCCGCGAGCTACATAGTGGAGTTGTCCCTGTACTGATGAGGAAACTGAGAAAGAGAGAGGTTTAGGCACCTGCTGCAAGATCGCTGGCCTAGGAGATGGCCCTGGAGCCCAGAGGCGGCCACATGGTGCTGACACCCCTGCCACGGAAAAGGCCCTGGCCTTGCTCACTTGACAAGGCCCACGATGCCCTGTTTAAGGAGCTGTGCAATAGAAAGCACTTCCCAGTTCGTTCCATCAATTGAGCTTTGCCACAGCTCAGGAGGCCAGTAGCGTGATAGCTGCTATTTGCTAGCTGGGGAGGTTGAGGCAGAGAGATGAATTTGTACCCAGTGTCCCTCAGTTGCTAATGCCTCTGCTGGATTTGCACTCAGGTGCCCCCCTGTACAGCACATTCATGACCTATGCTTTAGATTCATTTAAAGCTGCTGTTGACGTTGTGCACCCAGCCACCTTGCCCTAACTCTCGGTGCCCCCCAGTATGTCACCACCCTCTTGCTGCTCTGGAAGCCATCGAGAGCAGCCGAGGAAGCCATCAGCTCTGTGTACCGTGATCTGACATGACACGAAAGTGGCATCCGATTTGATGAGAGCTGCCTGCAGCGAATGGCCTTCTATTTTTACATTTCTCACAAATTGGAAATTACAAGGAGGCCAGGCCTTGCGGAGCGATTGGCTGGAGCCCTGTGCAAGCAGGGGGTGTGCAGCTAGGTGGAACGGGCCACATTAGGGTGCCAGGGGCCCCCTTGGCTACAGAAGGGGCTCCCAGCTTCCGGGGCTGGATGGGATCCTGGCATGCAGGTCAGCCTGGAGGATGCAGGAGTTAGTGGCTGCTTCGGACAGTGACCTGCAGCTCTGCCCACCTGTCAGCTGCCCAGTGTCTGCAAGATTGGTGTCACATGCCAACTCTGGAGATAACTGAGTTCTTACCAGAGGGACATTCAAGGTCAAAGATGCCCGGAAAGACATTGACAGAGGGTTGCTTTCATGGCCTTATTGTTTGGTAAGGAGGTTCTGTGCAGGGAGAAGGCAGCAGTCACAAGAAGGTGAGAAATGACATTTGGTATCAGTGTTGCAGTTTTCTGGAACTTAGTGCTGATAACAATTCTCCCAGTCATCAGAACAACACAGTTTACAAAAAAAAAAAAAAAAAAAAAGCTCTTGTGGCTGTTCTTTCTTTTGCTCCTGTATGAAGTATGCCAGGGGAAGAAAATATGGTCCCTGATATCCTGGAGAAGAGTCCTCTGTCAAACAAAAAGAGACATCTTCTGTAAGTGACTTTTCTCAAAAAGCCCAAATCAGAATGACCTTGACTCAGATGAGGCCTCTTTGCACACACGTAAAATACGCACACACTTAACGCTTAAGGAGAATTTCACAAAATGCTTTCCATTGAAGTTTGCATTAGCCCTGGGAGCTCCAGGTGAAAGCAATATTATTATTACTATTACTACTATTATTATCTCCACCTTTTGGATGGGGAAACAGGAGCTCTGCAAGCCCTGAACACCCTCACCCATGACCTCTGGTTTCCCAGTTGAAGGGAATCACCTTTCCTAAGCCCGAATCTGAA